TCTCACGAAGTAGAGAGAGTGAGAGGGAGTGAAGGTCTAGAGCAACTAGTTAACGACGGGCTAGGGGATTTTCAATGTAAGGAGAGATATGATGGCTGGTAGAACCTACGGTGGGAGCTGTGAGCTTGTGTTTTCAAATAGGTGTAATATCTACCACTACAGAACTTGGAAGGAATTTTATATAGTTTTGGTATGTTCTAATTTTGTAATTAGAGAGCTTAGAATTGAAGTGGAAAAAGTTTAAATTGAAATAGGAAAATTTCTTTTGGGGATGCTACGGCGCTGCTCCTTGGAGCGATGCGATGCTTCCTTCTTTGTTTGGGGTAGGACTTTTGGGAGCATAGCAGTGCTCAGAATGGCGGTGTTGCCTCTTTGTATTAGAGAGAATCTTAGGTGAGCACTATAGTGCTAAGCTCTCTATTTAGGAGCATCTAGAATATTCTAGTAGAGCGTTGCGGCACTATACATTAGAGCGGCATGACGCTTAATACTAAAGTGAGTTTATATATATAAAATTCTAAATTCATTTTCTTATTCCTCCTCACGCATTAGCTTGCTAGAGAAGAATAGATATAAAGAGAGGAGAAGAGAGGAAAGGGAGGAGAAAGTTCAAAAGACGTGAAATTGAATTTGTTTGTCCGACCAGTAAAGAAAATTGTTCTACTTGAGATAGGCTCTCAATACCTTATTTTTTATTTCACCTTGTGATATATGATATATTGTAGAATGTTTAATTCTGGTTTTTTTTATAGTAAGAAATCAATTTTTTGTCGCTCGATTTTCTTTATGTGAATTATTAAATATTTTAAGAGAAAATGACCAAAATGATTATTTGACTTTTTAGTGAGGACCAAAATGGTCCCCAACTATGTTATAAGGGACCTTGGTCCCTCAAGTCTTTAAAATGAGACCATATTGGTCCCACCAACTAAGTTAGATTTAATGGTGTTAAAATGAGGGGTTGTTTGGTCATTTTTTATTTTAGCTATTTATTATATATTATTTTCAAGCAAATATGCAAACAATTAGACTCTAATGAATCTACAAAATATAAAATTTGGATGACAACGACAAAATAGAAATTAAAAAAAAATATATTCTTTTAACTCAATGTAACTTCCAACAAAGTTTCTTATCTATATAAATAATGAAAATAAATCAATAATAATAAAAATATATGGCAAAATAAAATGGCGACCAACATATGCATAAACACTCACTGGATCAATTCGACGGTGAGGATTCGACATCCTTGAGGTTCGTCGCTAGGGTTCGACGTCGGTTTTGACACTGCTAGTGGTTTGGAGCTGGGGTTCGGAGATACTGAGGGTTCGAAGTAGTGGATCGAAGCTTCTAGGGGGGTTCGTAGCCGGGGTTTGAAGCTGCTGAGGGATCTAGGTAGAGGTTTGAAGCTAATGGGTGTTTTTGTTGCTAGGGTTTCAGCATGATGCTGATTGGTTTGTAGATTTGATTTCGCAAAATTTTTGTTATTCTGAGTATAGCCTTCCACCACCCTTCAGCCAGTCGATGTTTATTTATTCCTTTCAATAGTTTTTAACAGTGGGATCAAAATGGTCCCATTTTAAAGAGTTGAAGGACTAAAATGGTCCCTTAGCTTAGTTGGGGACCATTTTGATCTTTCCTAAAAAGTTGATGAATCATTTTGGTTATTTTGTCAATATTGTATGTTAAAGTGACATTTCTTATTGTTCATTAATTTTTTTTTAAATGATGTTTTATTAGTCTATGAATAATTCTCTGAATGGTAAATGTTTGTGTGTAAATTTGACATATGTTACCCAAAAGGATAGTGCATCTATCAACACATATATATATTCATATTTATATTTAATGTCATGTATAAATGTTAAATTTATTAATCTTGACATGTGCATTCATATTCATATGGTGAAAGTTCTGATGTGGGAGATGCTAAAGGGCATTTTAAGTTATGCTATTTGTGTTCGAATTTTTGTACTATTTTGCTTTTGTCTTTGGCCTCATATGTTATTTGTGGATATGAGGTTGTTTTTTGCCGTATTTACTTTTATGCAAGTATGGGAGGTTCAAACGATTTATAAGTAGAAGTAGAGTTATAAGGGGGTTGGGTCTTCGCTATCTGTCATAGATAGCCTTGTTGCTCTTGAAAGACAAGTGGAAGTGGAGTTATAAGCTGGTATCATAATATGTGTATATCATGACTCATATGTTACATATTATGTGAAATGAAATAAGTATAAGTACATATGATATTCTATTGATAAGCATACTCTGATGTTTCTATGAAAGTGCAAGTGATATTATGTTAATAATTGCACTATGACACCCATGTGAAAGTAGAAGAGAAAGTAAATGTTAATGCTTACAATGTTTAAGTTCAGGTGATAAATTTTGAGAAATTATTTTTGATGCTTAGTTAAGTGAAAAACATACTTATGTTCTTTTGATAATGTAACCTAATAAGTATAAGTAATCCCTCTATTTATGTCTTTTAAAAGTAAAGTTTTTTCCCATTATTATGCAAATGTTATTTAAAATTTTTTATTTATATACTGCAAATATGTGTATTGACTTATATAATAAGATTCGGGCAAGCCTATTGAGCATATATGAATGCTCATTCTGTAGTTTATGAAATTTTAAGGAAAAGGTTCAGCTGAGTAGAGTCAAGCTTGTCAGGAGCTAGCTCAACAAAGGCATTTTATTAGTCAAGTTTTCTATTTTAATGTGTAGCACAATTGGTACTAGACTAATTGTTTATAATTCTTTTTGAAATAAAGTTTGGATGATTGCCTTTATTATTTATTATTTGATTATCTTGGATTGTTTAGCTGACTTTGATACATTCTAATTTGTGGATGAGATGATTTGGTTCAGGGTTTAATTCTTTCATTAGGTTTTGGGGTGTGACAAGAGGTATGCTGCGTTCTTCTGCTTGAGAGAGGAAGAGGGATGGGAGCCTAGGTCAAGGTGCATGCACATCAATAGGCGGCTGGATGGATGATGTGTAGCCGCCAGAGGGCTGACCAAGGTGTAAGTGGCAATTTGCTAGGTGACTGGGCAGAGGTAGCTAAGGGTGGTCTCAAGTGATGGCATTGCGAGTTGCACAGTAGAATAATGGTGTGGAGAGGGGCTGATTGATGCGATGGGAGTGTACAGGGTGGGGTGTGGAATAGAGAGACAGAGTGAAAGAGATGGAAGGTGAGGATAGGATTTACGAGCCTGATAACAAGTCATTTGTGGACTTTGGTTGGGATTAGTTTTAGGTTTATTAGATTTTGTTTATATATATATATATATATATAATTTTGCTAGCAGATGTGATGAGGTAAGCATGAAATTTTCAGGGATGGGAATTATTGGACAAGAATTTTTTAAATATATTTAGTAAACAATATAAAAAAGTGAATGGCCCTCTTGCATAGTTTTTTATCTCTCATGTATCTCGATTTGCATGTTGCATCGCTCATGAGCATATTTCACCCTTTTTGACTTGCACAGTAATGCAATAACCCAAGCAATATTAGCGTCTTTTTTGAGTAACTTCTATATTCTAGGCACATCATCGAAGTTCGTTTTGGGAACAATACGACGTTCGAGCAACTTTTCTCAACTTGCGCTCCTTGTCCGTTGTTTTCAACCACATTGGTAAATTAATCATGAGGGGTCTCTCTTAGGTATATTTATTTTCTGGAGTGTGTCGGCACAATCCATTTTAGAAACGAATGGCATTTGAGTGATTTAGGTTGCAATTGAGGCATTTTGAGCTCGCTACATGCAATGTTGCGTCAATTGATCACTATTCTTCTCGCACATTCAAATTGAATTAGGAGCATATATAGATGTCAACAGAGGCAAGTTGTTGATGACCTCTATGGGGTGGATGATGGCCACGATGTCCAAAAATAGCAGGGTATCCATAATGTTGAGTAGTGAAGGTGAGATGAAACAAGGATTTCAGTAGGTTTAGAGATTATATGAGGGATTACTCTTAAAGGATGAATACAAAAAAAAGTGTAACATAATTGCATGCAACAAGAGGTTTTGAGAGATTAGATGAGGGATTTACTCTTTAAGGGATGAATACAATCAAAGTGTAATATATTGACGCAAAATAAAAAATAAAAAATGTCACGTGAAATTAGCATTGACTTGTTAGGTAAGCATTTGAAGAAATATCATTAAATGTGCCTTAATGCTTTTTTTTTATGTGCCTTAATGTAATTGCTATAAAAAGAGTAATTTATTATGAACAGGTTTCTCGGATCATTGCACTGGCTACATCTGAAGATTTCTTTCTTGGCTCTAAAGAATTCAATTTAAAGTTGCTACTCTTTGGCTAAAAGAAATTAATCCAACCAAAGTAATCCTACTTGAATCATATGTACTCTGTTGGAGGTATAAAAAGCATCCTTGATGCCTCATTGTGAAATACTTGTTAGGGGTGCAGTGTCTCCCTCACGAAGTTATCAATCTTTATGGTGATTGTAGGAAGCGGTCGGATTCGCGAAGATAAAGGGAGTGAACTATTTGCTTATCAATTTTTAACAACTACAACATTGATTGTTGTAAGAAACTTGATATTCACGTGAGACGCTAATGCCAAACCTCTAAATATTGACTGGACTCGGGATTTCCACTATTCCTGAAGCAGATCAACTGTGGACTTTAGTTAGCGTTCCACTTTGAATATTTAATTTGTTTGCATGGCATCCTAATATCTTTGTTTAACTTTGAATGCTCTAATAACAATGCATACAATTTGACCTTTTGATGTCATGCAATTTGGTTTGCAATATTTTTGTTGATGTTTCTTTTGTCGTATGAGATTAGCTTTGTTCATTTTTACACTTGGTTTACTGACGAAAGTTAACCTCAGTTGTTTTAATTCTATTATATTTTAAGCCTTCAAGCTTTTCTCATTGTTTCTATAAACATTACAATATCATATTTTGTATTGTATCTTACTAAAAGCTGGTGATTTCTAATTATCATTTCAGTGCCTGACTATGAGCACTGCTTGGATCGTGGCCGTATTGCTTGCACAAAGATCTCTGAATTTGTTAGGAGAAACTTGCAGTCCTCAGCTCGGGAGGGCCTGGCAAAAGCTACTTAGTTCTATAAATTATTTACTTTTGTTGAAATTCTTTTTGAATTATTAGTTCATGACTTAGACTTGAGTTGTCAGTTTGCTCGGTTTGGACTCTAGAGGTGGTGGCTTATGCAGTGAAATCTTGTTAAGACCTCTCAACTTTGCACTTTGTGTCAGTTTATTTTGATGGTTCCAGGCTTTTTTTTTTTTTTTTTTTGAGGCATTAATATACTTTTGGAAAAGTTTGTGAGGCATTGTTACACTCATTAGGCTTGATGAAGTCAGCTTGGCTATTTAAATTTCTATTTCATCACCAGTCAGGGTTTACCTTGAATAGTGGTTTTATTATCGTTGTGCCTTGGGTAGTTGCCATGAGTGGTGGCTTAGAGAGTTACATATGCTCGACTGAAAGTAAGATTTTGTGAGGTTGAGATTGGGACAGGTTAAGAAGTGAAAATAGAGTATGAAGTAAAACAAACTCTTAGTAGGAAGATGGTTGGTAATTGGCTGACATGGTAGATTGTTAATTAATTTAGTACTTGCCAGTTTAAGTCCAAGAAAAGGAAGAAAACGCTTTCTTTCTCAAAAAAAAGAAAAAAAGAAAAAAAGAAAAAAAAGAGAGAGAACCTTGATCAAGAGTCTTTAAGCATCAAAAAATAAAATAAAAGAAAATGAACAAAAACTTAAAATTAATGGGTTTTGGGTATCCTCTTTTGATGGTGCAAACATAATTTGAGGATAGTTACTTAAAATTAAGGATGCAATCAAGAGTTGTCTTACTGATTTTGCTTTTTTGGTGTATTTCCTTCCTATGCATTTAATTCTAAGAATAATTTCTCAAAATATTCTATCTACATCACTATGGAGGGCGCCAAAGATTGTACCCTCCAATTTGGCTAAGCTCCTCTCTCTCTCCCTCTAATTGTCCCTTCAAAATTAACCATTTTAAGTCTCTATTTATTACTCGTTCTCTCTATTATTTCTTTACTAAAAAAGAAAATAAGGGTGGCATGTTTAGGCGTAAGAAAGAGGAAGAAAGAGCTAAAAAAGGTTTATGGAAGTAAAGTTGAATAATATCAATGAAAGGTTTAGTTGGAGGTTTGGTAAGACTTATAAAATTCTAGATTTTATTATTTCAATAAAAATATCTTCTTATATAAACATCAATTTTATTATATATTTCATTAGCCTAAGCCTTGCAACAAGGAAACTATTAGTCATATTGTAAAGGTACATGATGCCACAAGAAGCCTATTATAACCCCTTTAATTTGTATCAATTGTTTTAAACATATTATTGTTTGTTTTTGAAAAAAAAAAAAACTTTGTGAAGATGCAAAATAGATTGTAATTAAATTTCTTTGGAAAATTTTTAATTTATAAAATTTTAGTTTTGAGATCGAACACATCATTATAAATGTTATATTGCATCGGGAGGCTAGAATATCATTCTCTAATAATTTCAGACAACAAAGTTGTAAATTTCATCCTCATTATAATAGTCGAATTTATGGAAGAACTATATAAGACGTCGAAGTATCAAAATAATGTTTGATCTAATATTTGCCTATAATAATCTAGATGAAATGTCGTTAATTTCATATTCAAAGTCATGATAATAAATGATATATATTCCCATAGAAAGAAAATATTGTTCACTATCAATCATTTGAATATGGCGATAATGATCATCCTTAATTTTAATTTTTTCAAAGAGAATTAATTAAATTTAAAATTGATTTGGGGTTTTTAAATCTCCCACGAGCGCATCCCATCGTAGTTAATTGTATCGTAGGAAACCTAAGTTTCTTATGAAATCTCTTGATTAAAATAATGGTAAAAATTTTATTTAGAATTCTCAATGAGTAACAACAAAGGAATGAGACTGGAATTTTAATAGGGATTGGATCGAATTTGAACGTTTATTTCTAGAAGCCAAGAGAGGAAAAGTATGAGGCATTTTGGGACTTTGAAATGATTCAGAAATGCCTTAGTCTACCCTATTTGTTTGACTTTAAATTTTGATTTGAAGAGAAATTTGATTCAAGCTAATTTTATTAGAATGGTGGGATTATATTCCCAAAGGTGGACTCTTATGATTTTGGGTTCACTCTGGATCCTATGTCTAATTTGAGCACTAAACGAAAAATGGCTCGATCCTAGCTAAAATAGTACAAACCTGGACTTATCCCAGCCTAAATTGGGGAGCCAGCTAACTATTAGGTGCTTTAAATCCATGTATCTAGTTTTTTTATGAAATATTGATGGCCTGTTGTTTAAGTTTTGAGGAATTGGGGCCGACATCTAGAGTAGGTCTTAATTGGCAGCTTCACTTATGTAGGGTGATTATCCTTTGAAATGTAATTAAAATTTTTTTACTTTAATTTGTTGCTAATGCATACATAATGATTGACCTTTGTATTAAAAAATGATATGAAACATCTAAAAAAAAGGCTTAAAAATAATTTTTTTTCTTAGATATTGCATAACATCCCATTGATATAACTGCACCTTAATAGGCCAGGTGGCCTGTTAGAACCCACAGGTAGGTGAAAGTTCGTTAGGGATGTAAGCCCTTATAAACTAGCCCGAGGATAACCAAGAGAGGGAGTGAATTGGTGTTTTTAAAAAATTCTCAAACAAAATTCATGATCTTAAACCAAACCAACATTCACCACAAAAAAATAAAGTATGAAAATTAAATGCGAGAAAGCAATACGAAAGAACACATAGAATTTTATAGTGGTTCGATCAACTTGACATACGTCCACTCGGAGCCTCTCCATAAGATATAGCACCTAACTCACTAACTCTCCGTTTGCTCCCACAGCAAGGTGGAGAAGACTATACAAACCTCCTTTCCACTGACTCTGGTGAGATAGAAAACCCGACTCATTTTGTTCCTTCCTAAAGCAGGTAGAGAACTAAACTCCTTTCTCTTCCTCCTAAAGATGGCAAAGAACCTCAATCTGTTGCTGTAGTAGACCTCTCTATAACCTCCAAGAAATCAGGGATGATGACCGGAGAAGACGACTCGGATCCTTTCTTGGAGCAACCTTTGTGAAACCCTTACAAACTCCCCCTCATAAGATTCTCTCTCTCTCCCTTACTCTACCTCTCCTCTTAGCTCTCTCATGTTAGGACAATAGAAAAAGATATCATCTTGAGTAAATAAGAGATCTTATATAGAAGGGCTTCAAATTTGCCCTAAATTGCAACAAATCGATAAAGATCGTCTTATACAATTAGTACAAATTCAGCTCAATCACTCAGGACAATCTGTGGGAGGCTGGACGATTAAAGGATTTGTTTCTTTTGATCATTCAGGATAATGAGACATCATCCTGTATGATTAGTTCAAAATCGTCAAGTATCGTCCAGACTATCACTCTGTTTGGCCAGACTTTACCTGTCTGGACGATGAAAGAATAACTGATCATCCAGGACGATTTGGTGATTGTCCTGTACAATTAGTTCAAGACGTCAAATATCTTCAAGTCAATCACTCTGTTCGGTTAGACTTTATATGCTTGGATTATGAAAAAATAACTGATCCTACATGATGATTTATCTATCGTCCGGTACGATTAGTTCAAATCAATACATATCATCCCGAACATAGTTTTGGTCATCAAAGAAGAAACTAAGGTTTATTTAACTGAGACGATATGATCGATTAATTAAATCTTAATTGCTTTCCTTAATCATACGACTAATTTAGGCATAATTGTAATGCATCGTCAAAGATGATATCCTGGATGATGTCCAAACATGCTTAACAGAGTTGACGGCTGATTCTTTCTGATTTGAGTATATTATCCAGGACGATGATAATATCGTCTAGGATAATGTGCTTAATTTTGGCCGCCTTAACGATGATGTCCTAATTAGGATTTCTATTTTTAACGAATCGTCTAGGATAATTTGGGATGGTCCTAGACGATATGATCAAAATAAAAAAAACACTAAAAATAGATAGAATTTTTCTCCTAAATGTGTGAGTGCAAGGTTACTTAGCAATTGAACACACAATGTTACATTTGACTCATGAAAAGGTACAAAATACTTGACGTACACTTACAGACTGACTCAATCATAATCTACCTAATTTTGAGCTGGGTTGATTTATAAATTGACCTTGTGAGCCTAAAACGTTAGTAGACAGAACAATCGTAGAAAAATAGAAGCGTCAGAAATGTTTGCTATCATCAAAATTATAATCCCTGAATCCAGATTTGCAATAATCTCCCCCTTTTTATTGATTGAAAATATTTGGTACAAAGTTCATCTTAAGCAGTTAATTGAAACATAACGTGAAGGAAAACACTAATCAAAATGTGAAGCAATTCAAATTTTACTAAATATAAATAGATGGTACAAACACTAAACAAAAGTAATAAAAAAGTACAATGAAAATACTACCACTACTCCCCCTTTTGATATCACAAAAAGGAGGGGACCAGAAAAGAAAACAAACAACATAACAGAAAAACAACACAAGGAAAACAAACTACAAGTATGACGGGCCCTGATCATTTGAAGGAGGTTGTGGTGGTGGCTCAAAGAAACTAGAAATATCAGCAAACTTCTCCCCAAACCAGGCAATGTCCTGGTCGTGCTGCTGCTGGTGGTGAATCACATAAGCATCAAATCTAGCGACATCCTCGGCATGCTACTGCTCATTTGCAGCAACATAAGAGTCAAACCTGGCCTCTCACTAGTTGAATTACTCCACCAGCTGATTCATCTATGAGTGCTGGCATATTAGAGCAGGTATATGAGCAGGTGCAGGAGCAGCATCCTCCTCAACTCCCGTAGCTTTCTCATTCTCTGAGTGGAGACGAGTATTATGAAGAATGTGGAAGGAGTTATTAGTGTAGAAGGAAGACTGAAAGTTAGGTGGGACAAGATATTAAAGATTAAATTTGGTTTCAAGGACATAGACTATGATGTGTCCTAAGTCCAAGTTAAGCTTCGTTCTGTGTCTTAGATCCCTAATGCTAATGAGATGCTCAATGTAACGAAAAAGAAGATTAGCAACATTGAATTCCCTACGGGCCATAATCTAGAAGGTGGTGATCGAAATGAGAGGAGTGATGTGGACACGATCATCATCTTTGGGAATAACTGAGGTATGAAGTACATATTGGATTGTCCTAACATCCTTGACTAAGGTGATAGACTCTCCATTATGATAGGAGACAAGAGTT